GAACAGCCAACTTCAGCATGCTGCCAGCGACACCAAGCCAAGCAGCCTGAGTTCATGTCACCACCACCCAATGACAACAAGCGGCTGGACGCAGTTCATGATGTCACACCGTTGCGCTACCGTGCCATTGAAAATGTGATCGGCAGGGCACCTGTTCCTGGACAGGCAGCACGTTAGCTTGTCGACGACACACTGTACCTTGCGCCTGAAGGAGAGCCGAGCTCCTTTGCTGAGGTTGAGCGTGAGCTTGCATGGCGTGCAGCCAGGAAGGAAGAAATAGACGCCCTGGACCAGAACAATACCTGGAAGCTTGTGGACCTACCACACGGTCATCACCCTGTTGGCCTGCGTTAGGTATTCAAATTGAAGAACAATGAGACCGGCGCTGTTGTCAAACACAAGGCAAGGCTCATCGCCAAAGGGTACGTGCAGCAGCCCGGGATCGACTTCAATGAAGTCTTCGCCTCTGTTGCACCCCTCGTGTCTGTTCGCCTTCTTATCTCACTAGCTGCCCATGAGGGGTGGGCCGTCCACCACATGGACGTAAAATCTGCATTTCTAAATGGAGCGTTGGAGGAGGAGGTCTATGTGTCGCAGACGCCTGGGTTCATCGTCACCGGGCAGGATAGCAAGGTGCTGCGCCTGAAGGTGTTATATGACTGCGTCAAGCCCCACATGCATGGAATGCGTGCCTCGGCGCCATGCTGAAGACCCTTGGTTTTGAGCCGAGCGCCCATGAGCACACTGTTTATGGACGCGGGCATGGCAGTGTGCGCCTGCTCATTAGCGTCTATGTCGACGATCTGGTGACCACCAGATCAGACCGTGATGAGATCACCCAAGTCCTGAAAGAAATGAAGGAATTCCTGATGAGTGATCTTGTGCTCCTCTCCTTCTACCTAGGGTACACTGTGTTCAGCCCCAGCCCCAGCCCCCCTCTGCTTCTCTACTTCAACCTATTTCTAACAATACAAGAAACACTCATGTGTATCAAAAATCACCAGGCAACGAGGGATGGCGATTAGCCCAGCGACGACATTGTAACTGGCTTTTTGTTTGGATGCGCGTAGCTGGTGATCGTTCGCCAGGGCCAGGATGGCAAGCGAACGGTGGTGAGGTGGCAGTTTTTACTGCGTTTGGGGGGGTGGGGGGTGGCAGTTTTTAGAAACTGCCATGGCAGTTCTTTCCTTGTATGGCATTTTTCCTTTTTCCCTGGGTCTTTTTTTGCGAAAACTGCTATCCTTCGGATGGAGATCGTGTGGCTCAGAGGTAGTTCGCTGGCAAAACGTTCCTGGGGAACGTCAGCCAGCTAAGATTACCGTTTTGTTTTGTTTTCTCTCTCTTTTTTTTTAACAGAGAAGCCAACAGCCGATGAACCGTAACAAAGACCAAACTGAGCAACCCGGCGGTGGATCAAGTCGCGGTCAAGCCAGGCGACATGGCAGCGGAGAAAATCGGGTCAGGCGGCGACCAAAACAGGTTGCGCGGTGGTCGAATCGGGGCGGCAGCGGCCAACGTAGATCATAGCGTGGGGGGCCATCGTGGATTCGGAAGCGCAGGTGCGAGGAGACATGGCGGCGGGCCTAGACGAGGTGGGTGGCGACCAGGGCCAAGGCAGACAACCAGACTGTATGGGGAGGCAGTGGCGTCGATGTGATGGAGGTGGGCATGGTGGAGATGGGTATGAGGGGCAGTAGCAGCCGGCGTGATGGAGAGAAGCTGGCGTGGCGGGAGAGAAGGGAGCAGCAGCAGCCGGTAGGAGGACGGCGCCACGGCATGCTGGAAGGATCAAAGCAAGAGTTGCACGCGTGAAAAATTTGACCTAGGCTCTAATACCATCTTAGGAAATATGCAACCTGTAGTTCCTGGGGAAAATGGCCAGTATATAAACATGTATGAGTGGTAAATATGCAGGAAGCCCCTCGATACTACGGGGAAAATATGCAGGCCATGCATGAAACATAATATAACTCTACCGATAAGCACCTTAATTTTGTGTTTCTTTATGTTTAACAGATTATTGGCTTGAACAATGTACCCCTTGCTGGTGACGAATTTGAGTCTGTTGATGACCTTGATGTTGCACGTGAAAGGGCAAATGCGCGTGCCGATGCAATGAGAATTGAAAGGATAAATGCGAAAGCTGGGGAAGGAAAAGTCACTCTCTCATCCATTGCAGCTTCCATTTCATCTGGGAATCAAGTAGGGATTGATACTCATGGGTTAAATGTCATACTTAAAGTTGATTTTCAGGTATGCACATTGCTTATAAACATCTGGTTTGAATCTTGTTGTTGCCCACTCTTTCTTTCTAAGTAACTTGATCATGATAGGGTTCAATTGAGGCCATTAGGCAAGCCATTCAAGCGCTGCCTCAAGAAAATGTCTCTTTGAGATTCCTACTTCAAGCTCCAGGAGACGTTAGCCTCAGTGATGTTGATCTGGCTGTTGCTTCGGAAGGAATTGTATTTGGTTTTAATGTCAAAGCTCCAGGGTCAGTTAAGAAATATGCTAAGCAGAAAAGTGTAGAGATTCGATTGTACAAAGTGATCTATGATTTGATAGATGATTTACGCAATGCCATGGAAGGGCTTCTTGACCTTGCTGAGGTAAACAGGCTGTCATTTTTGTACTTTTAAGCCAGTTGCGTAGAAAGCGTCTGAAAAGTCATTGAGGCGTTGTCCTAATTGAGAGGTCAAAAGGTTCTTTGTTTTTGTTGGGATACCATCCATTGAAAGGAATACTTACTCCTAACATCGTAACTGGGTACTTTGGCAATATACTCTGAAGTTAATATTAGTTTCTGTTATTTCGAATGATCATCCTAATATATCTTTCTTTGTCAGGAGGAGGTACCACTCGGTTCAGCCAAAGTTCGAGCTGTTTTCAGTAGTGGCAGTGGAAAGGCAGCGGGTTGCATGGTTACTACAGGGAAAGTTGTGGAAGGCTGCAATGTTCGGGTTCTTCATAAAGGAAAAGAAGTTTATGTGGGTACACTTGATTCCTTGAGACGGGTGAAAGAAACTGTGAAGGAGG